GTGGGAGAGGCGTCCTCTCCCCTCCAGCTCTGCCTGCAGAAACCCAATGGCAAAAGCACAGACCAAACGCTGCGTTAGCAGGTGCTTACTGTCTGCGTCGGACATGATGATATTTGGACTCTTTCCTCCAAGCTCCAGCGTCACCCTCTTTAGGTTACTCTCCGCTGCGGCCTTCTGGATCAGATGCCCGACCTGCACCGTGAGAAGAACAGGTATTAGGAATTAACGCCGACGTACAGCAACACCTGGCAGGGCGGCTGGTTTTAGATCTCAGCCAGCAGTTTAATAATAATCCCTTTGTTGTCAGGGCTTTAAGGGAACAACTGAAGTCTGCGCCGAGTTTCACCTCTAGTAAGCAGCTCAAGGGGAACGCTAGGAATTATTCTAAAGAAGGTGCCTAAAAAGGTCTTATATAAAGTAAAAATATGTCGCACCCTTTAAAAAGAAGTGTAGAAGGCAAGGCACCTCCAGTGTTTTATAGAGAAAAGGCATTACAGCAATGAGATATTCTCTGTCCCAAGGGCTTAAAGGTTAAGGTACGCCCTTACCTCCGTGGAGCCGGTGAAGGCCACTTTATCGACGTCCATGTGGGAAGAGATGGCAGCCCCTGCAGTGGGCCCATAGCCAGGGATGATGTTCACCACGCCCGGCGGGAATCCAGCCTGCCAGTTCACAGCAGGAGAGCGCAACGTTATTCCTCGTAGAAATCACGGATTTCACCCACCCTCATCTGTTAGTAACGCTTCAGGAGGCCTCCCGCGAAGAACTGAGCCTTTTCTACTTCACTTTAATTTCCTAGGTCTTTAGTTTTAGTGCTTAGTCTGCAATAACCAGGACAACTCCTCTCCCCACCCCATGTCCTAAGCATGAGTTGGAGCTATATGTGTTAGCTTTCTCATCACCCCGAAGTCTGGTATTTAACTGAACCTCAAAGAGTCCTTCCCTAATCGAGATTTATGTCCTCTGCATACGCATTAATAACAAGGGGGTTTTTCTGCTAAATCAAATGCTGAGATACCCGAGACAATCCCGCCTTTCTTCGGACCAGACAGCCCTTCTCTGTTCCTGCCACGTGCCCTCCGCAGCTCACCGGCCTGGCTGCATCCCCTGCACTCCTGCAGCGACGGCGAGGCAGCGGGCGGAAACCCAGCCCTTCCACTCACCTCTTTGATCAGATGAGCCACGTAGAGAGCACTCAGGGGGGTTTGCTCTGCCACTTTCATCACAACCACGTTCCCGGTAGCCAGGGCAGGCCCCAGTTTCCATGCTTGCATCAACAGCGGGAAGTTCCACTGTAAAACAAGGAGATGCTTGCTGGTCTGAACTTCAAAGTTTCCAATTAATTGGAAAGTAACCAGTGAGCTTCCCTAAATCAGCTGCAACACCTATGGAAGCAGCGCTTGGTCCTTCCCTAGCTGCTCTTCAATGTTTGGCTCCTTTTCAAGCACTGCTCGTCCAGGAAAACTGTACTCTGAAGTGGGAGGTCTCCCAGTACCACTGCCAAACCTGAACTTTTTGAGAATTAATCTTTACTGTCAATTTAACCCTTAAACGCTCTTTTGAGGTGTTTTGAAAGCAAGCTGGTTTGTAGCGACAGAGCAGCGCACACAGACCAGCGAGGCGTTCGCATTCAGTTCTCGCTCAGCGCAAACATGAAAAACATGCGGGTACAGAATGCAACAACCAGAACATGGCTACTCCGGTAAAGAGGTGACTCTGTCCATGGATCGTTGTATAAATACGGCTTTGTTGTTGACAAACCACCTTGCTACACTTGCTACTGGCTACAGAAATTGGATCAGGTACATAAAGCTGAATTTCTCTACTTCCTCATCACACAGAATTTTAGTTTTAATGTTAGGTAGTAGCTTAAACTTCATTGTGGTTCTGAGCCAGATAACTCCTATACAGGGGGTTAAATTAGTTTATTTTTTTCCCAGCAGATACAAAGTAAATCTTACTCAGAGCCCGTGAAATCGACAGGCAGCTCTGTACTGCCAGAGCAAAGTAACAGCCCTCCCAGCTGGCGCAGGCCTAACTTTCTTTACCACTGGAGGAAGCAGAGGCTAGCAACAGGTGAAAACGTGCATTTTAAGACAACTCTTCATGCTAACACTGAACACCTGAAATGCTGCAGGAACGACTGATACGTTTTACTCACCGGGATTATCTGTCCACAAACTCCCACTGGCTCATGTCTTGTGTAACAGAAGAAGTCTCCGTCTATCGGGATGGTTTTGCCGTGGAATTTATCTGACCAGCCTGCGTAGTATCTGGCAACAATAAAGTTATTTTAAATTCAGTGAGCAAAACAAGTCTCCTGTCAACCAAACATGAGAGACTTCCTCCAGCTATTTGCTGTCCTCCCTGCTTTCGGTCACTTCCCAGTACAAGTATCTCCCAGACAGGTGATTTTAAGACTGGACAGTAAACACAAGCGTTTGCCAGCACTTTGCATACCACACAAAAGTCCTTTGGAGAGGCTGAGGAATTACAGCCTCATTCGTAACAAAATACAAAAATGGAGGAAAATAGGGTGTCTGGCACCCGGCTACGGGCCGAATGAAGCCAGCGGGTCGGATCCAGCCCTGTCACCCACAACACTCGAATCAGCGGCATCGGCACGTGCAGGGGTTCAGTGCCGCAGGCCAGCGGAGCGCAGGCGTGGAGCATGAAGAGTTGCTGCACTGTCACTGTAGCCCCCATGCCTACCTGAGACATTTGACTGCCATGTCCAAATCCACCAGGTAGGCGACGGAGTACGGTTTGCCGTTATCCAGCGTCTCCAGCGCCTGCAGAAGACAATGAGAATGCCTGCAGGGTGAGGCAGGGAAAGTCCTGCGTAGATTTAGAGTCGATTCTCAGTTTGCGATTCAGATCAGTTCTGCATGCTGGCCTCTTTGCTTTCAGCTTCCCAAAACTACTTCCCCATCCTTTGTAGCTCTCTCTCACGGTTTAAGCTGTGGCTAAAATCCCCGTTACACCCCAGGGGCACTAACCACCCGTCCCTGCCTCCCCGTCCCCGAAGTGAGGGATCGCAGCAGAGAGCTCAGCCGCAGAGCGCGATACGCACCGCCAGGTAAGCCCGGTCCCTCTCGATCAGGTCGGCAAGGCGATTCAGCAGCTTCCCCCGGTGAGAAGCATCCATCCTCCGCCAAGGTGAGCCCAGCTGGAAAGCTGCCTTGGCTGCCTTAACGGCCTTGTCCACGTCTGCCTGCAGAGGAGTCCAGGCAAGAGGGTGAGGAAGCAGCAACCAGTTCCCACTTACTCTCTCAAAATACAGCTGAAGCCCTCCCCGGTTTCCAGGAGAAAACAGCCTCCAGCCAGACAGCAGAAGTGGTTTCTCGCCCAGTCTGCATCCACGGGCAAGAAGGAGCAGGAGGGGCGGTGAAATAGATGGAAGTGACAGCTGCACGGCCACCACCTCCGCCTGCGCTTATAAACTCTGTTGTTTCAGCCATGCGGAGTGCAAATATTGTCATTTCCACAAGGTCAGCTGCTGGGTTAATGTCTGCATCCTAGAACAAGGCATGGAAGCGTGCTTTTGACACGCTTTCAGGATTTGGTTTCACCAGCACAGTCTAAAGGTATTTTTACCTCGATCAAGTATCTCTAATCCATCATTCTGTTCTGTCAGGGCACTAAGTAGTTTCTAGCTGGGTGCTCTGTCCTGGCTTGCTGTAACGGTCTCGCCAGGACAAGCAAACAACAAAGGGTTTCCCTCCCTCACCCCTCCCTTGGGGAATACAGACAAGTTTCCAGACTGTGGGAAGAACCTGACATTGCTGGGAAACACCATCTCAGCTCTGCCACAGAGTCCTGGGAGGGTCTTGCGTAAAGCATGGGATGATGACCTGACTGTTCCCCACCATTGCTCTCCCTTTTTTTTAATCTCCTGTGGCTGGGGACGATCTCCCACTGCGGGTGTACAGCAGACAGGGGCTGTTCAGGTGAATCCCGACCTTCTGTCTCCTCTGCCACCCTCATGCTGGGTCACACCGCCAGCACAGCACCCACGGACCGCAGAGGTGTCTGGCTTCATCCCTGCCTGCCCCAGCAACCTCCACCCACGACCTCTCCACTCGCTCAGGCTCTGTGCCACTCCACATCTATTCCTCTCCATCCTTGCCAGTCCCAGCTTGCCACTGATAAGCGGCAAAGCCAAGGGGTTTTGTTGAAAGCGGCAGTCAAGGAAGAACACAAGCAGCTCTCAACGTGGTATTTGTGCAAGTCAGACGCCCAGCACCGCACACACGGCACTCAGCGGAGCTGCCTAGGTGAGGGGTGAGCTGGATTCTTCCTCTGCAACCCCCGTGTACCAGCTCAGGCGGAACACAAACCGGTCTCGTCAAGAGAATTGCTTACCTTATCGCCCTCAGCAACCTGGCAGAGAACTTCTCCTGTGGCTGGATTGATAGAAGGGAAGGTTTTCTTACTGACTGCATCGTGCCATTCATTGTTTATGAAAATCTGTCATGAAAAAAGCAAAGCGGCGTTTAGCCTTAGAGCCAGACCTAGGAGAAATCGGTAAGAGCCTGAGTAGTTTGATGACATCTTCGCAGGCTGCTTAATTAAAAGAGACTCAACTTGTGTGGGCTCCAAAACTGCACCGAGATGGAGGAGATATTTTAGCATAAATGTACACAACAAGAGACACAGCCTCCAGTTAATAAAAAGAATTCACATCTCAGCAACCAGCGTGTGAATCGGAAGCGGTTCCTGTCTCAGCAGATCCCTGCAAGGCCTGGAAGCCCGGCTGGAGCTTCGCGGGGACACCGGGAGCCTCAGGAGCCCGAACAGTGGGACAACGCTTGGGGCACGGATGCTACACTTGATTTTGTGCACAGCACTAGAACTTCTGCAGCGTTTCCCCGATTAACCGATTTTAGGCTCCCCATGTACCGTTCTGAACCCGAACCAGGCGCCAACAGCAGCTCTGCACCAACTCTTTCTTTCTCAGTGTGGGCAAATTTGTTTTTTCAGGTCCGTGGCAAGCGCGTGCCAGTGCAAAGATCGCGGTGCTCGCCAAGACCTTGCCGATCTGTGCAGACACCCAGCACCGAGCCAGCACCCTGCCCTCCCTCCGCACGCCCTCTCGCACCGTTTTCTCCGGGGGTTGGTGGCACCGGTGGCGGGGGTGGGGCCCCGCCGCAGCGCG